GGGACATGTTAACTCACGGGCAGCTGGCTCATCAAGGAACCAGAGCAGCTTTCCATGTACAGGTAAGACACGTGCAGCCGGTAAGGGTTCAGGCTCTTCTTCCTGGAGGATACGCTGCAAGCCTGTTGAGCGAGGTGACCTTGCTCGGGTCCCAGGTGTACGGTTCCTAAAATGGCTGCCATATACACGTCCACTGATAGGAGACGCGGAAGGTATTAAACTGGTCAGAACAATACTAAACACACCACAAATAAGGTTTCTCTCCTGTATGGCTCCTCAAATGATGCTTAAGATTAGAAGCGGCTGAAAAGCATTTCTCACACTCGAACAAAAATATATTTTTTTAACATTCTCTCCACTTTGAACGAAATGACGTTTGGGAAGAGATTAACATAATTAAACACAGGCAGTAAAAATACAGTTTTTAGCCATACCCTGTAACTTTAAAACTACACATCCATCTTCATAATTACATATTTGGAATCAGCACACTTAAAACATAAACATAACCAAAAATCAGCCAAATCCATCCAGGGGTTAAAAAGTTAGCTGGAGGTCCCTTTATGACCGACGCAAGCACATTTTCCTGCCCAAAACAGTTCCATAGATTTGGGCTGTGAGGTCGGTCTATTTCAGGCTGAAAAAACGACTAAGTCCCATCGCGAATGGGACTTAGTCTCTGCAGCTGAAATAAGGCTGAAAAAAACGGCTGAAAAAAAGACTAAGTCCCATCGCCGAATGGGACTTAGTCTCTGCAACTGAAATAATTTCCCATTTACTGAACCAAGTGGGAAATAGCAAGGCAGGCACAAAGGGTTTGCACCAGGTCTGGGGACACAGGGGACACCGTCTTAAAGGGGCCGTGTCCCCAACAAGTCTGAGGACACGGCCTTAAAGGGGCAGTGTCCCAATCTTCCTGATGTCCCAAAAAAGGTGTTTAAAGGGCCAGCACCAGTCACATAAAGAGTCCATAAGCCCAATATGCCCACCGACAGTCTTAAAGGGCCATACACACCAAATAAAAGTGCATACATTTTCACAATCTCCCAGGGGCCATAGTCATGCGGGAGGAGGCTGGCAAAGAGGCTTCTCCACAACACAGGGAAACAGGGCAATTTGCCATTTAAAGGGCCCGTTACAAATAGCAGTTTGTAACAAGGTGTCAATCCATATCTGCCAAGTGACCCGATGTAGGGGGAACAGTCCCTATTCTGCTCTGTGTCAGTGTGTATCAGGGATCCTTAGGACAGGTGTCAATCCATATCTGCCAAGTGACCCTATGTAGGGGGACCAGTTTCTATTCTGCTCTGTGTCCGTGTGCATCAGGGGCTCTGAGGACAGGTGTCAATCCATATGTCAAGGTGTCAATATGTCATATGTCAGGTGTCAATCCATATTCATTGTGATTTAGGAATGTTAGGTGATTTCTGCCCTTTATGGATTAAAACCAGACTCTGTATCAACTGTGTAATTTTCCATGGGAGTTTTGCCATGGATCCCCCTCCGGCATGCCACAGTCCAGGTGTTAGTCTCCTTGAAACAACTTTTCCATCCCTATTGTGGCCAGAAAGAGTCCCTGTGTGTTTTAAAATTCGCCTCCCCATTGAAGTCAATGGCGTTTCGGGCGGTTCGCCGGTTCGCGAACATTTGCGGAAGTTCGCGTTCGCCGTTCGCGAACCGAAAATTTCGGGTTCGCGACATCACTACATATTAGTAATCAAATCATTCCACTTTAAAGTGCAGATTCTGCTAAATCAGTTTTTGTCACCTCCCTAGATGGTAAAAATGCTGAAGAGTAATTAGGGAGCTTAGGCTAACATAATCTTAGTAAATCTAATTAGGCTGAAAGTCCATCAAGTTCAACCTTTAACACTCTTATTGAAGCTTTTGAACCAGAGAAGCCAAAATCACATTTAGATTAGATTTCCGGTTGTACTCGAAACAGGGTTTAAATCTTTCTTGTCACTAAGATTGTAATTATATTTCCATTAAACACTTTTTTTTTTTAGGAGGGCATAGTGCTAAAATATTGTGATAGTTTAGCTTTGCTGGCCCCAAAAAATAGCATTTGAAAAAAAAGAGAATATGAGAACTCTGAGAGCGGCAAAATCATAGAGAAACACAGTAGCTTGCCCATTGATTGAGTTCTTATATTGTCTGGTTTTTGCTTCAATGCACATGCTTAGTGTCTCCCTAAATTAAAAGGGCAGAATAAGCGAAGGGCAAACTATTGAGTTTTCTGAGCTTTTGCCCAATCTCCACACTCTCCTATTCTGTGTATTTGGTTCAAGGCATTTGCTTCGGTTCTCCATAAATTAAAACAGTAATCCAGATGTGGATCCGGGCTCACTGTGACTAGACGGGTATCAGCTACACCTCACTGATGAGGCACAAAGAAAGCCAAAATATTGCTGCGCCTTCCCCCCTATAACTTAGGTGGTACTTAAGAAGTAGTGGGATTTAGAAATTTTAGTAACCAGTTCCAACTTTTCCAACCAGGGCCGCCATCAGGGGGTGACAACCATGACAGTTGTCACTGGCCCAGGGGTCCTGGGGGGCCCGGACTGCTTTGGCAGTCCTGGGCCCCACATTCCCTCTCTGCACATATATATATAGCGATGATCGCTATATATATGTTCAGCCGTGGGCCCCCGGCTCCCTATACTTACAGAGGGGGCCCAGCAGACTGCAGCTGTATGTTACAGCATTTCCCTCGCTCTAACTCCTGCAAGACCCGCGGCCGTCAGAGCGTTGCCACAGGTTACCATGGCAACGCTCCACGCGGCACGCAGACCACGCTCGCGGGAGTTAGAGAGAGGGAAATGCTGTAATGTGCTCCTGCAGTCTGCTGGGTCCCCTCCGCAAATACAGGGAGCCGGGGTGCCCCACAATGCCACCGGACCACCAGGGATGGAATCTCCCCCCTCCCTGAACCAGGTAAGAAGCAGGGAGGGGGGAGAAACATTTATTACATTTACATTATTACATTACATGCATACACTAGCCTCACTGTGTCATCTCCCTGCCCTGAGCCTAAATGTGCCATCTAGACAAAACAAAATTAAGAATGCCCCTCTGGATAGGGGGGCTAGAGTGTGTCTTGAGGATATCTTAACAGGGGGTAACCCGTAACTAAACCAAAAAGGTTTAGGAAAAGGAAAGATGTGAACCAAAGACAAAGTCTGAGGTTTATTTTATTTTATTTTATTTAAATAACCTAAAAATACACAAAAACACAAAAGTAAACACTCCACATCTAAATAAATGGGGAAAGCGATGGGGTACCGCTATTCGGGGAAGGGAGGAGGGGGCAAGGAATAGGCAGATCTATGGAGAGGACTGCATGAAGAAATGATTAGTAGATAAGTAAGTAGGTGTCACCAAATATAATTAAACTGATGGGTACTATCTAAATCCAACACTCCACTTTAAAAAATAAGTGGTAATATAATTTGAAGTAAGCCCATTAGTACTTGCAATAGATGATGCCTATAATCTATGTCACAATGTGTGGTCTCCTTAGTAGCTTCTAGTGGATACATATAACCGCTACAATGATGTAGCAACACACTAAATTGAGTCTAATCCAAATGTAACAAATCTATCTAATGATACAGATAGAAAGCAGTTTCTTCTAGAAATGCAGAACCCCTCTCTCAGCTAAGGCTACGCTCTGCCTAACTGAGTATGGTCTGCACTTGTAAAGCTTCCTTTGCAAGATGGCCGGGTATTATTTCCTTAATAAACCCCCTTCATATGCCGAGGTCCTTAGACTTACTGTACTCAGAATAATCGAGTGCGTACAGGTGAAAAACACAATATAAAATTAGAAATGGATCAAAAGCAGAATATGTCTTTCAATGGAGAAAACATCAAGAGCCCCTTGGTGATAATGAATTAATTATAGGATTATTCTATAAATTGTATGCAGAAAGGAAGATTACATATATTATTTTCTTCTTCCAAAATGTATACAGAAATAAAGTGAAGTGTATGCAGCCTAAACTTCCTACATCATATAAAGGGGTACTACTTCCTAAATCATATAAAGGGGTACTACTTCCTAAATCATATAAAGGGGTACTACTAGGTTTCTTCATGCTCAAATCCATTATGAATATCTAGACATAGAGTGTAATACCTGTGTTTCTGGCTAGAATGGAATATTGAAAAATATTATTTATTGCCCTTATGTCATATCTCCCACTTGATGTCTACAAATGATTCCAGTTCATTATTCATAATGACCGGTACACATATTTAAAGGTCATTACAATATGTTAAATTAGTAAATATAATATATACAATTGTAAGGTGAATGCTTTATTTTTATTGTTTATTTTTCTATAACGGGGGTAAACGTAAATTCCTCATTTAATCTTTTAGGGGACATGATGTCGAATTTGTGGATCCAGAAACACTCTCTCCTCTTGAGAGTCTTGTCCAGATCACCTCCCCTTTTTCCCATTTGAACTTTCTCTATCCCTGCAAATTTAAAACATCTATGTGAGTCATTATGGTAGAGTTTGGCGTGTCTAGCGACCTGGGTATCTTTATTCGATGTCACTGAGTGGACATGTTCCATTACATGTCTCTTCAGAGGACGTATGGTCTTACCCACATACATCATGCCGTATTTACATGTCAGAAGAAATACTACCCCAGACGTATTACAGTTGAAGAACTGCTTAATTGGAATCTTGGTGATACCAGAGGAATCAGTTAGAATCTTAGACCCTTTAGCCAAGCCATATACCGGCATGCCATACATTGTCCACATGGATATGTGCCCTGTACTGTAATCCAGCTCATTTTTCTCACATTAGATGGAGAAAAGTGGCTTGGTACCAGGATCTCTTTAAGACTTTTTCCCTCCTAGCGGTGATAGAGACTTGCAGGGAAATAATGTCTGTCAGATGTGGATCCTGTGTCAGGAGTGGCCAGAACCTTCCCAGGGTCCTTTTGGCTGTTTCCCAGCCTGCATCAAAATTCACTATGCACCAAGTTTTACACTTCCATTCCAAAATTGTTTACCCAAATGCAACTTACCACTTGTGTGATGATTCTAAAGACAGGAAATGGAACTGTATTCCTAAAATACCTTGAAAATGCTGAGCCGAATCATAAAAATTCAATACAGCAGATATATTTTTTTTTGTCAGTTGTGGTGTAAGACTATTGAAGACTATGCTTACTGTTTAAATGGAATTGGCCTGGTTTTATGGTGGCATTATTCACACTTCAAATTGTTTTATATGTGATCATTTTCTAAAATAAAATTTTCAAGTTTGTTAAAATTCACTATGCATCTGATGAGTTTTATATGGTCCTGTTTAGTTTTATTTTCAAGAAGAAAAGAGAAAAGAGAGAAACTAAGCAAAAAACAGAGAAACCAAGGGGTTAATATGTGTCAGTCCCAAAGGTTCCCTGTAGTTGCAGTGCAACCCAAAAGAAAATAATTAAAAACTAACTTTTAATAAATTCCTTCTAAAAATTCAAAACATAGAAAATAACTGATGATATCACAAAAAATAATAATAAAAAAAGGGGAAGAGAGGAGAAAGTACTTGCAGAATGACTAGGTAGTACCCAGAGCAAGAGAGAGAAAGGGATTGCCTAATAATTGACCAATCCGTAAGGAGGGCGGGCTATTTGAATGACGGCCGGCGTCCTGTTCGGTTCCCTCTGAAGAGCCTTTTGGCGAAACGCGCGTCGGGTGTAGTTAGTGAGCGGGTGGTTGGCATTTGACCGGGGACTATGCTGCAGCCAGTTTAGATGTTACAGGACACTCTTAGCAGACCACCCTCTCTTTATTTTTTTACTTATATATTTTGATTTGTACCTCTGCTTACCTTCTATTGAGGTTTCACTCTGTTTACACTCAGGCAGGCGTTCTTAACCTGAGTGTCATGGGAGTTAGGAGATAGTACTTATCATACTAGGTTTCACAGCAAGATATACTTTAGACCTCCTTTTACAATAGCTATTACTGGATGTCTTTAAGTATTATTAGGCAATCCCTTTCTCTCTCTTGCTCTGGGTACTACCTAGTCATTCTGCAAGTACTTTCTCCTCTCTTCCCCTTTTTTTATTATTATTTTTTGTGATATCATCAGTTATTTTCTATGTTTTGAATTTTTAGAAGGAATTTATTAAAAGTTAGTTTTTAATTATTTTCTTTTGGGTTGCACTGCAACTACAGGGAACCTTTTGGACTGACACATATTAACCCCTTGGTTTCTCTGTTTTTTGCTTAGTTTCTCTCTTTTCTCTTTTCTATAGCTACTAGGGGTTACCCCCCACTTCTCAATAGCAACCCGATATTTGTTGCTTCTGTTCCTATGTCTCATTTCCATTATATGAATGTGAAGAGTATCCCGATCAGATGGAGGGCCCTTTGGTATGCCTGTTTAAGGCACCTATTTGGGTACCCCCTATCCTTAAATCTTTGTCTAAGATGAGAAGCTTTCAGTTGGAAATCCTCCAGAGAGGAACAGTTTCTCCTAAACCTCTTTTCGAAGAAGCAGGATAATAGCTTTCCCATCTTAGCATATTATTTGTCGAGGTGGTTTACAGGGTGGTGGGGTGGTGTTTATCTGTAAGTCCTCAGATATCCTGAATGTGCAGTCTAGAAAGTGAAGTGATGGTGTTCCCACTTCCATGGTCAGTTTTAGATTAAGATAATTTATATTAAGGGCCTCCACAAACTCAGTAAACAATTCTTTTCTGCCTGTCCAGATAATGAGAACGTCATCTATGTAACGTTTCCATAGATAAACGTTATCCATGTATGGTTTTAGATACTCAGAATGGACAACATTCATTTCCCACCATCCCAGGTGCAGGTTGGCATAGGCTGGGGCACAATAAGTCCCCATAGCTGTCCCCCCGCACCTGGTGGTAGAATTTGTTATTAAAAAGGAAAAAAATTATGGGTCAGTATAAAACGCAATAACTCAAGAACAAAAGATGTATGACATGAATGTTCTGATCCTCTTGTCTCCAAAATAATTAAACAAAATCAGTTTAATTATATTTTGTGACACCTACTTACTTATCTACTAATCATCTCTTCATGCAGTACTCTCCATAGATCTGCCTATTCCTTCCTCCCCCCTGAATAACGGTACCCCATCGCTCTCCCCATTTATTTAGATGTGTAGTGTTTATTTTTGTGTTTTTGTGTATTTTTAGGTTATTTAATAAATGTGTTTTTATTCATATAATATTGAGGATTCTACTACGTGTACCTTGGACTTTGTCTTTGGTTCACATCTTTCTTCCTAAATGTGCCATCTCCCTGTCCTCAGCCTCAATGTGCCATCTCTATGCCCTATGCTAACTGTAATAGTAGATGTATTAAGGGTTAACTGGCAGTATATTGCAAATATCAGGTCTAGACTATTAAAGTAATAACAGTAAATATCCTTGGTGCTAAAGCGGCACCTAAAACCTAGGTCTTAACTGTTAGAGTAATAACTGTAGATTAACTTGGTGCTAAGATGTCATCCAATGTCTAGACCAGCAACTCTTAAATAGAAAGGTAAAGAGATTTGTTAATTTAATATTTAGACAAAATTGCCTGAGTCAGCTGTGCATACAATTGCGGTACAAGATTACCGTACTAGTAATGAGACACTAGGTCAAAAGGTAAAAGGGTCTCTGAGTCTCGACCTAAACCCTTACGCAGTGAGCTAAAGACAATGCTACAAAGATGATTGAAAAAAGTTGTCAGCAGTGATGCCTGAGTTGATAGCGAGTTAATGTCTAAACTCCATGATGATGAAAGGAACTATTGGTCCAAAGTTTTAACACTTCCCTCCCATGCCTTCGAGGGCACCTGTACCTAATCCCACTGAGGTGAAAAAGTACAGAACCCTAAAGGAATAAGCACGATCGCTTAATAAAGATCAAGGTGAACATGAACAAAATAAAGTGAAATAAAAAACAAAAGCGCGGTAGTGAATCTGTGTGCTGTAAAAAAAGATTAGCACTAACAAGACCCCTGACGGGCGCGTTTCCCCCGACCTGGCTCATCAGAGGGGAACCAGCCAGTTCAAAAAGTTGCATTAAAATACGATAAGGTTGACAATATGAAAGGTGGTGAGTGTGGGGTGATGGTGACAGTGTGGGAGGTGGTGACAATGGGGGGGGTGGTGACAGTAGAGGTGGTGGTGACAGTCTGGGAAGTGGTGACATTGGGGGCTTGGTGACAGTGGGGGGGATGATGACGGTGATGGTGGTGACAATGGAGGATGGTGACAGTGGGGGTGGTGGTGACAGTGTGGGATGTGCTGACAATGGGGGATGGTGACAGTAGAGGTGGTGGTGACAGTCTGGGAAGTGGTGACAGTGGGGGCTTGGTGACAGTGGGGGGGATGATGACGGTGATGGTGGTGACAATGGAGGATGGTGACAGTGGGGGTGGTGGTGACAGTGTGGGATGTGCTGACAATGGGGGGGGATGCGACAGCTGGAGGGGTGGTAGTGTGAGGGAATGGTGGCAGTGGGGGAGGAGGGGGGTAGCATATGGGAAGGCTGTGGCTTAGTTAGATACCTTTTCTTTTTTTTAATATGTAATCCATTCCCTGGTGGTCCAGTGGTCTAATCCTCCCTGGTGGTCCAGTGGTCTCCTCCTCCCTGGTGGTCCAGTGGGGTAGGTAGACAGTCCACCAGAGCCTCCCTGTTTGCAGCTCCGCCAGGTGCAGAGCTGCAGACCATGGAGTAGAGATCTCGCAATCTCCAGCACTTGATGTGTCACAGCGTTGCCGTGGTAACCCGCAGCAACGCTGTGTTTTGCTGGAGATTGCAAGATCTCTACTCCATGGTAAAAAAATTAAATATAATGAAAACAGACTCATGATGGGGGCAGGCCCTGACCGCGGAACAGAGAAGACGCTAACCACAGCAGCTTCTGTGGATCACGGCAAAAACGCTGACCTTTAAATCTAAAACGGCAATTACTTGGGCCAGAACGGCTACCCAGAGTGCAGTGACATCGGGGTGCACATGTGGATACTAAATGAGCAACGTACCAAACCCCATTCCACCTACATGAAAGTGAGGCCTAAAACAGGAGAACCCAGGTCAGCATTCAGCCAGGTGGGCACTACACTCACCGACAACCACACCGCCACAAGGCTCAGGGGCTCTGGGCTCTCACACACTGGGGAGACGGCACGGGCTGTGATGAGCAGCACTGAGTGAACGCACCCAGCCCCAACAAGGCATCGGCTGACCCTACAGTGACTGAGACTTAATGTCACGCAAAGTGAACACTGTCATCCGTTTTCATATGCCTCAATTGAACACCCACAATTATCTGCTGATACCTACTGTCTCTTCTCTATTTTCTGTTTTCGTGTTTTCCCGCACAGGGGATCACAGGGGGGTCTCACTCGTAGTTAAATCGTCTAAATGCTAACAGTAACTATGCTCAGATTGTCTCGTATGCACGCAAGTTAAAAAATGTATTTAATTAACAATCCTCACGTCTGCTGTATCTTATGATTGAAGCACCAGCCTTGTTTTTCATGCAGACTTGGATATTCCTGCATTCAATACACTGCAGTAATATACAGCAAAGCAACCCTAATTTACTCACATGCCAAACTACACTGCAGTAATTATTCACCAATGTTAAGCCTATTATATCGACCTTGTTTATATTTTAAAAATGTGCACGCACTCATGCCACTGCTAAGTTTGTATGAATATATATGTATGCTGTTGTGGCGTTTGGAAAAGTCCTGTACCTACCTGCAGAAAAAAAAAAAAAGAGAAAACAGACTCATGATCAGCAATTGATACAAATCTGTAGGATTTGCAGCTCCTGTAGTGATGTCTACAAGGGTCCTGATGTGGGTGAGTCCACTCCTTGTCCTCTCATAGATTTTAATAGGAGAAATGTGGTATCCAATAAATCGCCCATTAAGGGTCTCTGTATAGAATAGGTACAACAACTCCAGTAATAGCACATCATTCTGTACAAATCCATACAGATCATTAGAGCAGCCTTAATACAATTGCAATGACCTGATTACTGCTTCTCATTAGGAGAAGTGATGAGAAGCATTTTTTGCTAGTGAATGGAAATTATTGAGTTCTCTTATGCAGTTGTGTAAGTCTTTCTTATGCATTTGATTTCTGAATGAATGTCTATACACCCCTCTACTGAAACATATGGAACATATGATTCAATTAAACATATGGTCGTT